CTGGGGGAGGCGGAGGAGAGAGGAGCAAGCAGGGTGGTTGGTGGTGATGCATGGTGACTTGGGAGGGGAGGACTTGGGTGAGAGAACTAAAGAGAGAGGAGAGCGAGCGAGAGAGGAAACGAGCGAAAGAGAGACGGCGAGAGAACTAAAGAGAGAGGAGAGCGAGGGAAAGAGAGAGAGAACTAAGGAGAGGAGAGAGCATGAGAGAGGAAACGAGCGAGAGAGAGGCAGCGAGACAACGGAAGAGAGGAGAGCGAGAGAGAGCGATATAACTAAGGAGAGGACAGCGAGAGAGAACGAGCGAGGAGGGAGTGTGGTTTGCGAGTGGCCACTGGAATGCGAGGACGCATTCACGGGCTCGTCACGGCTCGTTATGTCGCTCGCAACTGTCGCTGTCCCTTTCTCTCCGTGACGTTCACCCCCAACGTTCGGGACGGGACCCCCACAATAAGAATCCACTCTGTCCGATTAGAAAAAAAACATAACTCACAGGTTAACACGTATTATTAGTAGTAAGGCTTTCGTGACCAATATCCATAAGAGGTTTTTTTTTAAGTTAGATTGCTTAAATATATGTTTCGTGAAACCCGCCACCACCCGACACAGCCAATTAGTAAAGTTTGTTACGTAAACAATGCAAATGTTTTTGACGACACATTCGTATTTACGCGATCTAACCCCAAACGAGAAGCCTCTCCTCTCACTCGGCAGATGATTCGCCTCCTTCCTATGCCTGTCCCTCCACGTGAGAACAATCAAAGCACAACGTCATTGTTCACACGTCCCGTCGGCCACGACCCGCCCCCTGGGGAGTGCACAATTCGGGCCCCCATTTGGACATTCAGTGGTCTCATTGGCAGAGCCGGGCTCTGCTTCAAGCGACGCTGGTGAACTGCCCAGTTCAATTTATAGGAGAGGTGACCCACTCACTGTCTCCGTTGATCGATTCTCGAGACATAACATCTGAGGAGGAATGATGGCAGACAAACAAAACGCTTCTCATTAACAAACCAAAAACTTCGGAGATTCATGGGCCCTGTTCAACAGGGTCCGCTGTTGAGCACTGCGCCTCTCTGTCTCTCTGTATCTCTCTGTGCCTGCGGCCCTGTGTGTCTATGAGTGTCTCTGTGTCTCTGTGCCTCTGTGTCTGTGCCTCGCTGCGTCTATCTGTGTCTCAGTATGTCTGTCTTTCTGTGTCTCTCTGTGCCTGTGTACCTCAGTGCCCTTCTCTTTCTCTATGCCTCTCTGGGTCTCTGTGTCTGTGGCTCGCTGTGTGTCTCTGTATCTATCTATCTGTAATTGTGTCTCTTTGGGTCTCTATTCATGTGGCTCTGTGTCTCTGTGTGTTTCTCTGTGTCTGTCTCTGTGTCTCCCTGCATATCACTGCGTCTATATCTGTGTCTCACGGTGTATCTGTGCCTCTCTGTTGTCTGTGTGTGTATGTATCCCTGCATCTCCCCCTGCGTCTCTCTCTCTGTGCGTCTCAGTGGACCTCTGTCCACACCCGGCGCTCAGGGTGACCACAGCGCGCCCTGTGGATGTGCACAGCGACAGAACTGCGTCATCGCACACAGTCCCTGGCCGGACTCGCTGGGGGCCTCAGGGTCCCCCGTTTCCTCCGTCCACGCTGCCACTGGTGCTGGTGATGGAGCGGCTGCCGTCTGGCTCGTCAAGATGAGCAGACGATACAAGCGTAAATCAAGTATTGCGCCGTTAGTGGAAGGTGTCTAATCAGAAATGAGTCGGCTCGTATTGGTCACGTGCCATGGGGTCAACGGTTTGTGGTCAATGCACATTTGAAAAAACTTTCCACGGTAGTAACCCATTGGATAGAGAGCCATCGTCATCACCACCTCATTCAATCTCTTTTCTGATACGAAGCACTCGTGTCATGTCACACAGAACCCCTGCCATGACCTTGCAACACGGAGAGGCCTGCAAACATCGGGTACAGAAGCATTGCAATACTGAGGCCTCGTCTCATGCAGTACGGATCCTCGTGTCACCTGGCAAAGAACCATCGCAACGTCTCGCACTGAGCTCTTGTCTCATCTGAAGATAAATCCTCAATTCGTTATGTCTCAGCCGATGTATCGTTGCTCTGCTTGCTGCGACTCTCGTTGCTACAGTCACCCTCTTACCATCGAGCTGCCACCTCCCTGTCTCTCTGCTGTTCCGATTACTACAAAGACCCCCGTATAGCCTTAACAAACTAGAAAAAAATTTAATTTTACAAAGTAAGGCCCACTGTGCTATTTAGCTCTTTTTCAGAAGTGTCCTGCCCCACAAACGATAGCCCAACGAAGTGGCTTATCACGTGGAAATGTAAGAGCAGCCAAAGACTCTAAACGCGTGTTGTTTCCAAATGTGGAGGGAGGACCCGGAGGAGCCGGAGGAAAAATCCACGCGACCACAGTGAGAGAGAGACACACAAACTCCAAATATACAGCAGCAGACGTCAGGGTTGGGATCGAAACCACGACCTCCTGTATCCAGGGCGAGGTAGTTAACATCCCCGCCGCCGTCCTTGTTAGCGAGCACCTAATTAAACTTCACACTTGTTTTGGGTGTCGGTGTGAAGCGCGCAGTGGCAGTGTGAAGTTCCCGACAAGATGCACATCGCGTAACTGCGGACTCGTGCGATGAGGGGTGGGGGGGCGTTACGCGGGGCACGCCTGGACATGGTGGCCTTGTGACCGCCCATTTAAGTCTTAAAAAAAAAGTAATATTTTTAAAAGTGAGGTTTATTTAAAACAGAGATTGATATACAAAGGAGGAAAAAAAACCACAATGTTAGGGGCCAAATACTTGTTGGTCACAAGACATCTGGACCGCGCTGTATGTATACACAGTCCCACCGGTGGTTCTCAACCGATGTTGGCTACTGCTGTACCCCCATTGTTGAATTTAGTTTCAACCGAATAGTAAACCCCCTTGCCTGACCCAACATGGTTCTGAGAAATAAATGTGTGAATAATGAACGTCGACATGTTAACCAATTGTCCATTGCGTGAGGTTATCCTAACTAGCGAGTAACTGAAATCCGAATAAAATACAGAGTCAACGGACGCTCTGCATGCGTGACGGAATTTGTTCACACTCGCTGGTTACTCTTATCAACCGCATTGTTTACGATCAGCGAGTTTATTTAAAGTATTTAATATCGTTCTAGGTTACCATACACATTCGCATATTATCGCAGTGATGTTATATTGGCAGCTTCATATGTGCTTATTCACCAATGATTCCCACATACATCACGACGTTTCGGGCGCTTGTGCTGCGCCCGAAACGTCGTGATTTAATTTACTTAATTGTATACCTACGTGACTTTACCGAAAGAACCAAAGAGTATACTTTCACCCATTTATAAATCACCTCACGACCCCCCCCCCCCCGGGACATTGCCACGCGTACCCCCAGGGGCCCACGTGGGTTGAGAACCACCGCTGAATCACAAAGACAAAAGATCCAACCTTGTAAATTGCCAGGACAGGGGCTGGGCACAAAAACAACGGGAGGTGACGTTATCGCAATAACGTGGGGAGTATTCCACTCAGATTATCTCATCGGGAACGCCTTACCTTTCTTTAACATCACACGCAGGCAAAAAACAACAGTCAAAACATGAGAATGATTCTACCAAAAAGATCTTCATAATAAATCATTTCCTGCAGGACGGGGGGGGGGGGACATCGCCCTCCCTCCTCCAGCCGCACCCTCCCCCCCTAGCCCCGCCCCTTGCCTCGTTAATCCCCCCCGCCCCCATGCCCCCCCCGCCCCCATGCCCCCCCCGCCCCCATGCCCCCTTGCCCCTTCGTCACAACAACAAGAACACGGCACGGGGTGTTGTTGTTGTGTTCGCTGCCTGCGAGACCCCAGTGAGATAACTCACGGCCTTGTCACCCACGGGGCCTGCCACACACGAGACGACATCATCCCCAAGACCCACCGATCCACCACCAGCTACCCTCCCATCTCACTCCACTCCCCTCAATGCACTCTCCCACCGCTCTCCTCTCATCCCACTCTACTCCCCCTCCACGCACTCTTCCTCTCCCCCCCTCATCTCACTCTATTCTACACAATATTTGCTTCACGCATCCTTCGCTCAGTGGGAGGTCGCTCATTCTTCTGGATCAACGAAAAGATCGCACTCACCCTTCTATGCCCGCACCTCCAATTAGCACGGTTGGCTACGTACGGTATGAAATAAGTTCAACACATACAACAACAACCGCCATTCGCCACTAAGTGGCGGTGACGTCACAACGACGCTTGTGCCAGGCCATGTGCACCTTGAGGCTACGTGAAGTATCGAACACCTACTGGCAGGAGGTCACGGGGCAGACCCAGGTGCCGCGGGTCGACTGACTGAAATGACTAGCTGATGCACCACCTGTGCCCCCTACTGTGCCAACCTGCTGTGCTTTAGCCACCTGGCGCTCCGCTCGTTGTTGTGAGCGTCGCTCCTCCGCCCTCCGTTGTTGTTGGAGGGCGACTGCCTTCAACTGCCCAGTAGCGTCCTTCACGAGCCTCCTCCACAGAGGCCGATCTTGACACCGCTGGTACCAGTCATCGGCAAGTCCACTCAGCTCCACGTCCTCCTGTACCACATCACTCCATCTCTTCTCTAGCCCGTGCCGCGCCTGTTTAGCCCCCTCGATCCGGCCGAACAAAAGCTGTTTCGGCATGCGGTGGCTGGGCATGCGGGCTACATTACCCAGCCAACGCAGCCTTGTCTGCCGGAGGAGCTCACCGATGGGACCTTGCCCAGATCTTTCAAGGATTTGTGAGCGCCTCACACAATCCAGCCTGGTTAAACCCAGGATGGATCGTAGGCAGGCTAGCCTAAATGACAACACATACACACACACACACATACTCGATCCTATGCTGGAACCCTCGATAGTGCGTCCTTCAATAGTGAATCCCGCAATAGTGGATCTATCCAAAGTGGATCGCTGATACGGGATCGCTGCTGGTGCTGGAGGTCTCACCTGCAGCAGCAGTAGAAGCGTGCGCCCGCTCGGGTCCTCCGCCTGCCAGCGCACGCCACTCAGCCGCAGGAGACGCGCGCGGCGCTGGCAGGGCAATGCCGCCAAGGCGGGCACCCTCACCTCCAGGTGGGCGCACGGCGCGGGCGTTGGCGGCCCGGCCGGCATGGCCTCGTCGGCACGCAGCGATAGCTGCACTCGCAGCGCAGGGCCGGCGCTCAGCTCGCGGCTCCAGCAGCAGCCGGGGTTCTGCAGGGCCGCGCTGCCACCGCCCAGGAGGAGGCCGTAGAAGCGAGCGAGAGGGCCCAGCTCGCCGGGGCCGCACGGGAGGACGTAGAGCAGTACAGCCGTCGGCTGCTGCTGCTCGAGATGGTGGTGGTGGTCTTGTTGGTGGTGGTGTTGTTGTTGGTGGTGGTGGTGGTGCGGGTGGCGGTGGAGGCTCGGGTCTTGCTTGGCTGCCGCGCACCGGCATGGCACTCGGATGACCCAGGCGGGGGAGTCGAGATCCCCGAGCGAGAAGAAACGGCAGCGGTAGGGGCAGCGGCAGCGGCGAGACAATCCAGCGAGCTGCTGCTGATCACCATCATCATCAACAGCAGCAAGATGTTGATCGTGTTGCTGGTGCAAATTGTGCTGCTGTTGATGGAAACGATAATTCTGCGTCTGTTGTTTGAAATCATAGTTGTCGAGTTCCTGCTGATCACTGAACAGACTGCGCCGATGCAACAGATGCTGCTGCTGCTGATGGCGGAGATGCTGCTGCTGCTGCTGGCACCGATGCCGCAGATCGAGCTGGGCCACGGGCCTCCAGGGAGGCCGCGAGAACAGCTCCATCAGGGCCTCCACATCAGCTTCCTCCACCGCCGTCAGCTCCACCAGGAGACGGGGCCGGGGCGAGGCGGGGGGGGCCCGAGGAGTGGGCACGGTGGGGTGGGCCCGAGGGGACACGCAGAAGGGCCGCAGCCCCGGGCACAGGAGCTCCGCGGCTGCGTTGACGGCCGCCTGGAGGCGCGGAACGTCGCGCGGCGCGGCCAGGAGGTGCAGGCACACGCGGTAGGGGTCCCAGCCCCACGCGGGGACCCCACGCCCAGACCCCCCCTCATCCTCCTCCTCCTGCTGCTGCTGAAGGGGACCCTCTCCTGTGTGTTTGGGGGGAGGGGCAGTAGTTATGGGGCTGTGATGTTGTGATGGTGATGTTGAAGACATCATCTTAACTCTATTTAAGACCGTAACCGGAAGACATAATTCTGGAAAATCGCCTGATAAAGCTGGTCGTAATCATGCGCCTCTGATTATCACGGTTGGCTATGTACGGTGCAAAAGAAGTTCAACATATATACATACAATCCCCAGAGAAAACGTTGTATCAAATATAAATGTTGTGGGTTTACTTTCCAACACACATGTGTTCTGAAGTAGTAACTAATTGGCATGTTTTGTTTACGTGACAATCCTTACTAATTGGCTGTGTCGGGTGGTGGGTTAACGACACGTTTATAATTCCGTGATCTAACCCAAACAAAACCTTTGTCATGGAGAGACGGAGAAACACAGAGAGACACTGAAACACAGAAAGACACCGAGAGGCACAGAGAAATAGAAAGACACAAAGAGTCGGAGGGACACGGACAGACACGGAGTGCAATAGAGGGACACAAAGAGGCAATGAGAGACACAACGAGACAGAGAGACGCCGTTGAATAAAATCTGGGCTCGCTCACCACCGCCTCGCGTGCCGTGCCCATGCAAACCTTCGTACGTTATCGCGAACAGCATTTGCCCCAACGGTCTGCCAAAGGCTATCCGGGGGGGTCTTTGTCCGTGCAGTGGTGGATACGTTTCATTCCTTGGCTGCCTGCCACTCCGCTATTATTGTTGACCATCGCCCCATCGACCCATCCAGCCGTGACACCGTCCAAGCAGCCCACACTCTCTTTGCTTAACAGTTGGAATGATGTCATTTATCTGCGCATGATTCTCATTGCAATTCCAGGCGTGCGTCTCTCCGCTCTCGTTAGCCTTTCATAGTCGCTTCACTTTTTTAAGGTTGTTTTTTTTCTTCCTGCAATTATTTTTTTTGCGTAGGCAGGCCTTCGTCCAGCAGTGGATTAACAAAAGAGCCCAACATTAATAGAGTTACGTTGATGGGAGTACTTTGGACACGCAACAAAGACATATATCCCCCTTATAGTCTCAACAGACTTATGGGGAAAGTGCTGTTAGCGAGCATCTATGAAGGCCGGAACGGCACACGAGGGGGTGGGTGACCAGCACCACGCCCGGTCGCGTTTGTCTCCCTAGTGACGATGTTTATGCACCGCACCAGGTACTCATTTGAGGCTGAGTCGACCTAGGCGAGGCCCAGGACCAGTTCAGATAATCGTTACTGGTGTTGGTCGTGAGCGGGAATCGAACTTGTGTCGACAGGTTCATAGCGCAGTGCGCTAGCCGCTACACTAACGCTCCCCACAAACACACACAGACACACAAGTCTCCACGAGTAAACAAGTTAGCATCTGGTGATGCTGTTGTTGCTGCGTTGGCAGAGGGTGCAATAGGCACATTCAACAATAAAAATAATAATTCAACATTCGTCAAATAACGCTGGGGTCTTAAAAACAGAAAAGAGTATACAGTAGGCAACGTGTCAAGCAATGACTCTCATTAACAGCACATAGAGAGGCCAGAGAGGTAGAGGGGATCATCAGAGTTCGAGACTGCACCTCGACACCATGTGCTCTAAAGAAGGGCCATTGCTCAATACGCCGGAAATGATCTACTTTTCTTTCTTGTCAAAGTGGCAGTGTTATTGACGAGTGTGTCAAGTCTTTGAGTCTCCACTGAGTCTCAAAACCCAGTTTCCACGAGGTCACCACTTGGCCAGGTATATTTAAGCGATGATGTATTGGTGCCTCGTCGTCACCTCTAAACGTATGTAAAAAGAAAATGTTTTACCAGTATAAAGAGATCAGCCTGAACAGGTGAGATGAGACTGGGTATGTGAGAATAAAGCTGTACAATTATTTTTCAGAAACGACCTGGCCACAAATGATAGCTCAACGAAGTGGCTGTTCACGTGGATATCTATAGCAGTAGCCAAATAACTCTATTCGCATGATGTTGATTCTAAATGTGGAGGGAAAAACTGGAGGACCCGGAGAAAAATCCAAACTCAAAATATACAGCAGGCATCAAGGTCGAGATCAAACCCGCGACCTCCTGCATACCAGGCGAGGGATTTAAAGACTCGCCACTGCGACGCTACGGAGGAGCGACGGGAAAGAGTGGATGGGCGAGGGAAAAGGAGGAGAATGGATAATGGAGAAGAGGTGAGCTGGTGGTGGGTTGCACGAATGGATTAGTGGCTGATGTCAATTCCAATGATGTTCTAGAAGGTCGAGAGAGCTGAAGTTTGGCACAACCGGAGTGAAATCGACACTTATAACCAAACTAATTATTTGGTGATGCTCCTGCTGCCACTTTGGCAGTGGCGCGCAAGGTCGGGATCGAACCCACGACCTCTTAAAAAACCAGGCGAGGTAGTTAACATCTCCTAGCCACCGCGGCGAGATTGTTAACTCGTGCAAGCGGTGTGTGGACGCCAAAGTGCCGCACGTGGAATCTAGACACTTGCGAAAAAGAGATTCACAGCTCATCGGATTCCTCCAGAGCCCCCTCAATTAATTAATTCGACGGGCGCACACGACGGGGCCCCCCTCCTCCCCCTCTCGTTAACTACGCCACGCGGGGCGAGGACTCCGTAACCTCGCCGGAGCCCCGGCCGCGAGCAGTAGGGGCGGCGGGGGGGGTGTAACGCTGCCTACGCCCACTTCCTCAATAATGGATCGCGTCTACCGCAAGCAGGTGGCGTGATGGGGGAGCGCGGGTGTGTGGGGGGGGGGTTCATGGCGGGTAGAGTTACTACGAAACTGGTAACATGAGTTCAATTCTCGGTCACGGCTAACATCAGTGGCGAGGAGTGATATCTGCACCGGTGCGATAAGCGCCCCCCTCCCCACCCTCTTCATCAATCCGCACTGATGCCCGGTGGTGGTGCCTTTAGGTGATACGACAATGAATGCTCACATTTAGAACTTGATAGATTGAACATTTGTATACGTGGAGCCAATTCCATATCATGCGCTGTATTATGGTTTGTTGCCTTCCCCCGCACCTCCGATTGGCACGGTTGGCTACGTATGGTGCGAAAGAAGCTAAACGTACATACGCACATGAAACATCTAATTTTGCAAGGTTCTCCAGCGCAGCCATCGACTCACGCATAGCAAACACGTGATGACCCCGTGTATGCAAACGTTGCCAAATCTCTAACATGCACATTTCCAATTTACAAGGAAAATCACCACGGGCTGTACATTGCATTAAGCCAGGCTGGGGTTGGCTGAGCACGTGGCCTGTAACCCAGCACTGTGGAGGCAGCAGCGAGGGTTGGTGGATCACGCACAGATGTTGTGAAACTCCCTTCCCGTGGGCGTTGAGGAGATGCCAATACCCTGGCTCGGCCAACAGAAGGTGGTAACAGCAAAGTGTGGACTCCACCTGTTACATCTGTGTGGGATTGAGTGTTTCCCCCTCGCACGTATGGGGTTTGTCTGGGTGCTCCGGTTTCTTCCCACGTGTATAAACATTTACTTAATTGGCCGATAACACCTTGACAAACAGTCAGTTCTGCTATAACGTGTGTAGCTTTCATAACGCCAATTGGATAAAACGTATTTAATGTATTAGGGAATACAGTTTTTATGACGCGGATGAGAATTTGATTTAACGCGGTTTAGTGAACGGAACCATGTCGCGCGAGTAGGAATAAGATGTTGTAATACGTCTGCCTCGGTGTAGCATCGCACAGGGCATACGTACCTCACGCATGATCACGGACTGCGCATTGACCCTCTAATATATATTACTTATTAGAACGTGGTGTTCTTCAGGAACGCAACTACTGTATTCTAGGAGAACAGTCTGTATAGAGGATCGCGGAGCTCGGATAACTGTGGGCACCGGCTCCTCACCGCGTGGAAGCTGCCTCTCCCGCTCATTTATGGTTCACCATCTCACCTCTGAGTTGTCCTCTCTCTCTATAAGAGCGAGGAGCGAATATCGTGCGGCGACGTTGAGTTACAAGTTGAAACTATTACTCGTGTTGTTATGCATAATAACGGTTTTTTTGCGTTAGATCGCGTAAATATAAAAAGGTGTCGTTAAACCTGCCACCACTCGACACACCCAATTAGTAAGGTTTGTCACGTGAACAAAACATGCCAATTCATTAATAGTTCAGCACACCAGTGTGTTGGAGATTAAACCCATAACATTTACAATTTTGAGTATGACGTTTCACTGGTGATTACAACCAGCTTCATCAGGCGATAGCCATGATTGGTTATATTTACACATGTATATTTATGCGATCTGACCCCCTAAAAACCTTTATGATGGATAATATTGGTCGTGTAAGCCGACGTGTTGAACTGAACATTACATATTATTGTAATAAACTCGCGATTATAATTAGCAGTAGTGATGGGATCCGCAACGTGCGTGTGTAGATGCTGAATGTGCATTGGGAGAGCACTCACCACTCTCCACGGACGACGTGCGACTGCAGTCCGAGCTGCAATAGTATAAACAACATGGGAGGAGGAGGAGGAAGAGGGGGAGGTTGGTAAGATCGCAGCCAAAGCAAACAGTACAGGGCAAATCGCGCGACACACACACTCACAGCACGCGGGGTGCAGTGTTTATTATGATTATCGTACAAGTACTGAACCCAGCGAGCCGCCTCGCATTCATTTCAGACCACGGCTACCCGTCGGTGGCGAGCGATATTTATTGTTGGAAACTCATTTGTTTAAAAGTTTTTTTGTCTGTGCTTTAGTTTGTCGTCCTTCATCCGCACATCCAATGAGCACGGTTGGCTACGTACTGTGCGAAAGAAGTTCAACGTGCAAAAATGTTTGTACGTTTTCTATAAGGCGCAGCAGACCCAGGCCGCATTGGTCAGTGGTGGTGAAGTATGGTCAAACAGCACCCTCCCCCCCCCCTCCATGACCGATACAGTATGGCAAGCCCTCCATTCAGGAGTGGATTGATAGCGGTCTGTAAAGTAACACAGACAACACCAACGGTGGTGCTGTCGAATCGGTAATAGAGTTTGTTCAACACGTGTCACTTATTTGATTGGCCGTGTCGGGTCAAGTAGGGTTGAAGGCACACAATGTATTTGCACGATGACCTAACCCAAAATAAACAAATCGTGATGTTGGCCGTGAAACCCTTCGTACGAAAATAACATTGAGCTAATTATTACTACTCATTGCACTTGAGCTAAAAGTGTGATTGATACAGCAAGCGTGGTCTGTAGACGATCGTGTGAACACGGCCACTCCGGTTTACTGGCAGTCGCTACTGAGGTCATCAGAGGGTCACTGCAGCCAGGCATCTCCTATGCTTCGCGGTGCCAGACACGGTGCTACACGTGGTGTCACGCACGGTGCCACACACGGTCTGTGTGAGATGGTACCACACAGGAGGCCGTGGGGTCGATCCAGACCCTGATGCCTGCTGTATATTTGGAGTGTGTGTGTGTCTCTCTCCCCGTGGTCGCGTGGATTTTTATCTGATTCCTCCGGTTTTTTTCCCCTTCCACATTTATCATCAACTTCAAGAATTTAGAGTATTTGGCTGATATAAATTCCCACGTGATAAGCCACTTCGTTGAGCGATCATTTGCGGCCAGGTCGCTTCTGAAAAATGAGCTACTTGGTTCAGTGGGCCTTACCTGGTAAAATAAAACATAGTTTAGTTTAGATACATGAACTGTGCAGCAGCGTGCCGCTTCTCTGGGACTGCCAACGAGGCCCCCAGTTGATAGATCATCGGCTAACTCCATCATCATCAGCAGCAACCCACAATCATCATCAGCAGAAGCAGCAGCAGAACCAACCCGCCATCACCACGCGCCCTGTAGTCTAAACTCGTACTCATGATGACGAGGATGATTGATGTCTTGAGAAGCAATAATAACTGGGTAAATTCTTAATTAAAACCAAAAACCGCTTCGAGTTGAAAATGTACTGCTGCTGTTGGATTTCCAAATGTGTGACAACTCTGGACAGCACTGGTGTCTCCACACACACACGGTCCCTACAGCACGGGTGTCTCTACACACACACGGTCCCTATAGCACGGGTGTCTCCACACACACACGGTCCCTATAGCACGGGTGTCTCCATACACACACACGGTCCCTACA